AAACCGCCTCAGTCGTCTTTCTTGGATTGCCTGGGATATCATTGCGATGCTGTCGCAGCGAGTGCGGACTGTCTCATTTGAGACGATAATATCGCTTTATTAGCGTCAAGCTATTGCGATCTACAGTGTTATGGTTTGACGGGTGAAAGAGGTCGCGAAATCGGTCGGTTTGGTCATAAGCGCTGGGAAGACCAGTGTTTTCACGCCAATTCCCTGCCCAAGAGAAGGCACCTATCAAGATTAGTGGCTGTCGACTTGCAGATGTAGACAGTTTCAAATACCTCGGAGCGAGGTTGCTGCCGAATGAAAAGATTAAGGATGACATTGTCTCCCAAATAAACGCAACTCTACGAATTTTCTACAGCCCTTGAAGATGCTTATGGACCCGACGCGATACTTCTATCTCCACAAAGGTCTGCGTGTACCGTGCATCTGTACGGTATGATCTTCTATAGGGATGCGAATGCTGGGCTATGTGCGAGGAAGATGAACGGAAACTTGAGGTCTTTGACCACTGTTATATGCGGGAAAGTGCAAGCGTTTCCGGCCTCTGGTGCCCAAAATCCGAAGGCGGACAGTCTTCATCACGACCATTTCGATTTCTGCTGCCTGTCTGAAGTGCGAATCCCCGACTCAGCCGGAAGGGAAATAAATACCCTGGGATTTAACTCACACTTCAAATTCTACCATAAACGCCCAGGCGACTCTTCTGGTGCGGCTATTGCCCTCTTAGTACGAGCGAACCGTGAACTGCTTGCATGGGAGTCATTTAATGACCACACGGCCTACTCGCGACTTAAGGGCCACTTTACCAACACTTTTGTCGTCTTTGTTTACGCGCACAAATCAGTTGCCGAACAGCGCCATAATAAGACCTTCTACAGGGTTTAGATGAAAGGCTTCCTAACCGTGATCTGCTGATTGTTGCCGGCAACTGTGAGTGGCAGCTTTGTTGCTGACAACTCTCCCAAGGTCGATCGCCGGCGTGAGCACAATGAGCACCTCCTAAATTTTGCTGAGCAATAAATCATAACCTCGCCTTCCGTAGCAGAATTTCATATATCTCCAGTCTATTCAGTGTCGTGCAATCCTTCTGCAGGAGGAGTTACTAATTCAATATAGAGGCTGCATAGAAAAGGCGTCCGGAGAGGACGGTACTCCCGTTGGCATCTCCAAGTCATGTGCTGGTTCCACGGGGTGATTGACCTCGCGTGGGAAGATGAGGTCGTTCCTGATGACTGGCGCCGAGGTATGCATTTATCTGTTAACAAGAAGGGAGATATTACGAGATGTGAAAACCATCGTGGCACAAGTCTTATCGACATTGTTGCAAAGATCCTCGCTGTTGTATTCCTCAGACGAGTTCAGGCTGCGCAAGACTCCAGAACGGGACCCAACCAAGCCGGAGTTCGCGCTGGGCGTGAATATGCGGACCAGATATTCACCCGAGACGCATTCGTGAATTCTGCCATGGCGACCAACAACCGACGGCCCACTGCCTTGTTGACTCTACCGCCGCGTTGGATTCCGTCAGTGGTGAGTCCATGTTGCGAGTAATTGAAGAAGATAGTGTGCCGGCCAAAATCGCTGCCGTGATCAAGGCCTACTATTGCACCAACACTGCGCCAGTTATCGTCCATAACAATTCCTCCCGGGCATTCGGTATTTGGCAGGGTTGCATTCTGCCGCTCATTTTGTCCTCCTAAGCCATTGATTGGATTTCTGGAAGGACCTTACACAATTTTAGCGTTGTGGAGTTTGCGCTCGGACGCTGGTTGATTGACCTAAACTACACTGACCAGATCGAATTGCTAGCCTCAAACTTTCGTGGTTTTCGACCTGCATCCATGACCAGGAGAACGAGGTATTTTTTGGGGTTAATGGCGGTTGACCGGAAGAAGTAGGCAGTTGCAAATAACCCGGGGCGAGGCTGATGCCGAATTCACAGAGT